GAATGGGGCATGGTTGTGTCAGAAGGGGCATGACTGGGTTGAGAAGGGGCTTGGTTGGGTGGAATGGGGCAATGATTGGGTGGAAAAGGGGCACAGTTGAGTGGAACGGGGCATGGTTGGGTCAGAAGGGGCATGGTTGTGTGATAAGGGGCATGATTGGGTTGAGAAGGGGCATGGCTGAGTGGAACAGGCAGGGTTGGGTGGAAAAGTGACACAGTTGAGTGGAACAGGGCATGGTTGGGAGAGAAGGGGCATGACTGGGTCAGAAGGGGCTTGGTTGAATGGGAACAGGTATGGTTGGGTGGAATGGGGCATGATTGGGTGGAATGGGGCATGGTTGGGGGGGAAGGGGCATGGTTGGGTGGGAAGAGATATGGTTGGGTGGAATGGGGCATGATTGGGTGGAATGGGGCATGGTTGGGGGGGAAGGGGCATGGTTGGGTGGGAAGAGATATGGTTGGGTGGAATGGGGCATGATTGGGTGGAATGGGGCATGGTTGGGGGGGAAGGGGCATGGTTGGGTGGGAAGAGATATGGTTGGGTGGAATGGGGCATGATTGGGTGGAATGGGGCATGGTTGGGGGGGAAGGGGCATGGTTGGGTGGGAAGAGGTAGGGTTGAGTGGCAAAGGGGCATGGTTGAGAGGAAGGGGGCATGACTGAGTGAGAAGGGGGCTTGGTTGGGTGGGAAGAGGTATGGTTGGGTGGAATGGGGCAACGATTGGGTGGAAGGGAGCATGGTTGAGTGGAATGGGGCATGGTTGGTTGAGAAGGGGCATGGTTGGGTGGGAAAGTGGCACAGTTGAGTGGAAGAGGCATGGTTGGGTGGAAAAGGGGCACAGTTGGGTGATAAGGGTCATGGTTGGGTGGGAACAGGCATGGTTGGGTGGAAGGGGCATGGTTGGGTAGAAAAGGGACACGGCTGAGTGGAAAGGGGACATGGATGGGTGAGAAGGGACATGGTTGGGTAGAAGGGAGCATGGTTGGGTGAGAAGAGGCAGGGCTGGGTGGGAAGTGGCCATGGTTGGGTGGAAACTTTCTGGGCAACCCTATGGTGCTGGTCTCCAACCACCCAACGCCAGCAGAGCAGGAGCACCCTGGAGCCCAGAAGGTCACTAAACCCAGCAGAAGCTCCAGCCAGGGCCCACCTGGAGCATCCCCTGCAGGAGTTGCCACCCCACCCCTTGCCCTTGCGTGGGGTGTTTTGAGCCCCGAGGGGGAGCCCTGGAGATAGGAGTGGGGGTTCTTCTAGGAGTAAAGGACTTCTCCATAGCTGAGGAGCCACCTTTGTCCATCCCCCAGGGATCCAGTCTCAGCTCAGCATGGTGACGCACGGCCAAGGGGGTTTCACCGTCTTCGTGGGGCTGAGGGGCTCCAGGGAAGAGCTGGGGCTGGAGGCCACCAACTATTTCCTGTACCCAGGGAACGACCTGGATGGAATGTAGGTTGGGCTTCTCCTCAGACGTGCTTCCCTGAGCAGAAAGGAGATGAATTCCTGGGTGGTGGCTCACGAAACGCCCTCGGCAGATGCTCCATCCAGGTGGAACGAGTCTCCCGGGGAGAAGTTTCCCCCACAGGCCACCTCAAAGCCTTCCAATCTCTGCAGGATGAATCGTTACTTGGCTTCCTCCAGAGAAGAAGCTGCCAAGAACATCCCTGCCCTGTTTGTCACCTGCCCCTCGGCCAAGGACCCCACGTGGGACACCAGGCACCCAGGTAAAGGCTGGAGCCCCGACCTCGGGTGCTTCTGAGGAGCCTCGCTGGGGTTTGGAGCCTCTGGTGGCTGCAAACGAGGAGTTTCTCCTAAAAGGTCCCAACTGCAGAGCAGGTTGCTGGTGGGAAGTGGTCCTCCAGAGAGCTGGGACCACC